CAGTATGAGTCACAACTTGAAACATTTCTAGTTAAGTATCTTGGAGTTCCAACTGATGTCACAAGTAGTTGAATAAGCAAGGTAATGCAGGGGTGATGTAAGGATTGTTAGCCTATATAATATTCAAGATTACTTTTAAATTTCAATGTTTTATCCTGATTTTTAAGACTTAAGAGGTGGTCTGTAATGGATTCAAATGTTCATTTGTAGTATAATGAAATGTTTACAGAAAGATAACTTTTTCATTAAAATATTTTTAGAAATGTGTGTGTGGTTTTGTTGCTTCACGGTGTTCGTGTGATTTTAAACAGTAGGTGAATATTACATTGGAAGGAACTTTGATGTAGCAATTCGCTTTAGGGATTATGGATTCTATTTAGTGGAAAACAATACATGACACTAGAAATGGGTATGGAAAAAATAAACGGAAAGCCTATTTGTTTTAAATGCCAAGATGTGAGACGCTGGGGTGACATGAGAAATCTGAACTTTTGGGAAAAAAAAAATAGAGTTAAGGATAGGACACTTAAGTGACTAAAAGTTGGGAAGAGGTGGTTGGGGGTGTGTTTCACATGTTGGATGAAATTTTTTTCCCCCAGAAAGCGGATTGGTTGAATCTTGTATGAGGGAGGGCTGGGAGGAAAATAAGGAATTTGGTCAAACTGCAGTGCTGCATTTTAATCCAAATAAAGGTGTGTGATGATCGTTGTGTTACAGTGATCCATTGTGAGGGTTTTGAGAATTGATTTTTTAGGAAAACTTGGCAGCGTAATTATTTGAATTCTTAGCATTAATAACATTAAATACTTGGGAGTTGAAGCCATGTGAGGAATTTTAGCTGTTTGGATTATAACACATACTATATGCAGTGGTTTTATACTCTGCAGCTGTAAGTATAATAGTTGAGTTCCAAAGTAACGGCAAGAGTGGACATTATTTCTACAAAATCTATTTGCCTTTATCCTTACAAAGTGGAAATTAGGCAACAAAAGATTGGAATCTCCTGTGTATTCATGGACTGCAATTAAATCTTGAACATGAGTGATATGCAAAAGTTTAACCTTGTAGGTTGGTGTAAGTTAGGATTGGATAGAAAGTACCAAGGAGAGGGGAAGACTTCAGATGAACAGGTAAAGTATGCCATTTTTGCTTACATTTTTATCAGTTAATGGCAGGGTACATTGAGCTGCATTTAAGTGATTTACATTTAGCCTCTTAAGTGAAGCTTAAGAGGATACCATGCTGAGCCAGCTAGGAAATGTGAATTTGCCCAAGATACTCCATTTGTAAAATATATTGGTAAGTGGATACACAACACAAAGGTGTTGGTGGCTTTAAAGTACTTTAAAATATGAAGTGGTTAAGTGTCACTACATTCATGTCTTATACCCATTATAACTTACAAGGGCCTATAATCACAAAAATGAGTATCAAATGTTGACTAGTTACACCTGAAATTAAAATATAGGTAATTCTCTCTTTAAAATACATTGCCGGTCTCCATTGTCGATAGAAACGTTGAGTAGACTATCCTTTAACATACTTAGGAAAAGAATTTTGATAGGTGATCTATTTGGATTTAATCACATTTGTCCTACTCCTATCCTTAATTAGGTATTGGAAAACCGATTATATTACTATATAGCAAATTTTTACAGAGTAAGTTTTATGAGCTTGGACAAGTTGCTTGGGGTTTCATTTTTACGCATGCTACACCTTGGCAGTTGGTGATGCCAACAGACACCTAGGAATGTTGGGTTTTTTAAAAGATTTTATTCATGAGAGGGAGTCCAGGACAGGCAGAGGGGAGTAGTGGGCACCCTCTAGGGAGCCTGATGTGGGATTTGATCCCAGGACCCTGAGATCACGACCTGAGCAGAAGGCAGATTACCAACCATTGAGCCACCCAGGTGCCTCAAGAATGTTGGCTTCGTATACATTAAATAGAATCACTTAAAACATTACATCGAAAATAGTAATGAAGGGGCACTCAGGTGGCTCAGTTGGCCGTCTTGACTCATTTCAACTCCGGTGGTGAGATATCCGCCCGCCCGCGCCCCCCCCCCCCCGCCCCGCATTAGGCTCTGCACTCGCATGGAGCCTGCTTAAGATTCTCTCCCCCTCCGCCTCCCCCTCCCCCCAAATAGTAAAATGCTAAGTTTGATTTAGTATTTAGTAATACACGCTTCAAATATTAAATGAGGCTAGTGGGTCTGACGAGACTTTGAAGTCCTGCGTATGTGGCATTTTGGAATACGACAGCAATCTGATCTGGATTCTTAAGAACAGTACTGTGAATACCATTGCGATTTGTTGTCTGTAGTGTTGAAGGAAATGTTAAATTTCACTAAATGTTAGTAACCCCATCAAAATTTTTACGTTCTGTACACATTAGGAGCTGTTTTTACCTAATTCCTTTTTTGTAAAATGGAGATTATACCCACCTTCGTTAAATCTGAAAGTTAAGTCTGATAGTTGGCTTAAAGAATTTAATCCGGTGTCTGGTCCATGGTCCCTAAATATTTTTTTGGTAATAATTATGGGTACTAATAGCCCAAGCATACTTAAAATTTAATGGGTGACAATAAAGTTATGCCAATGTCTTAAGTTTTTCTCTACTGAAAGTTTTTGTGGTTTTTACATTTTTCTTCAGCTCTCAAAAGGTATAAAAAGCAACTGAAAATGAACCTGTTCTGAGAAGGGTTTTTAAGGAATGAATGAGGATTTTGTGTAGGTTCTGAGGCTTAAAATCTAAGTATGGTATGAGGAACAGTGTAAGTTCAACAGCCACCCCTTGCCTAAAAAGCATGGGCTTGAGAAATCTCAGCAAGAAAGTGTTTCTTTACACAACAAATGCAGGATCCTTGGGGTCAAGATTGCTAAGAATGCTTGATCCGCATCCGTGTGGAAGGCATAGGGACACATCTTAACACTAGAAAGGGGTTTAATATTTAACAATTGGGTAGTTTAATGACAATATAAATAAACCTGGCCTCATTTTTTTGTCATGGGGTTAGGATCTGTTTAAAAACTTTAGTTTCTAGTTCTGCATAATGCAGTATGTGTGGTACTTCAGAGTCCGTTTTTCAGGTGCCCTACAGAACTGGCTTCTTGAACTCCAAGAAGTCTGCTCCAGCCAATTCCAGATGTTCCGGTGGGGCCGCACCCCCAACACACACCTATAATTTTATCTAAGGTTGGATACTTTAGTCAAGATCCAAGATTTTGGCAGGGGAGGGTTGGAAAGAGGAGGTCTCCAAGGAGAGCAGTGCCGCCGCCACCACTTAGAGGTAGAGACCGTTGCCTGGTGAGGAAGGGCAGGGGCCGCGTCCGAATGTCGGCTCCGTACACCCGTTGGGTTTTGAATTTTTTTTTAATTATTTGACAGAGTACAAGCAGGGGGAGCAACAGGGAGGGAGAAGCAGGCTCTGCTGAGCGGGGAACCTGACCCAGGGCTCCATCCCAGGGCCCTGGGATGGTGACCCGAGCCAAAGGCAGACGCTTGAGTGACTGAGCCACCAGGCGCTCTTTGAAGTCACTTTCAACCCTGAGCTTTGTCGTTCAAGCTCAGTTCTTACCGGCTAATCGGACTTCAGTTTCTTTCAAACTAGTCAGGAAGAGGCGTCCGGGTACGGCCAAGTGAGACGGTGTGAGCCAGCATGGTACAGGCCTCCGCCCAGGCCTCGCTAGGGCCCTCCTCCTCTTCCCAGGCGGGACTCGCGGTGGGACTAAGTGTGGTTGCTCTAAGTGTGCACAACTCTCCGACGAGTCACCAATTACCCACTTTAAAACAACACAAGACAAACTGATTAGATGAAGAAACCGTGAATTAATGCTGTGAGGGAGTCCGTGCGGCCCCCTGGACAGCCTGCAGCCTCTCGGAGTTTTGCGGGGCCTTGCCTTGGTCTTATGTGTGTTTAATCTCCCAATGTGTCCCAAAGTGAAATTTCCCACCTAGACTTTCCTTCTAACCAGGCATCTCAGGGTAACTCAGTTCTCAAAGCTGTTTAAGTCCTTGACCCCACCTTCACCCAACACCTTCTCTCAGAATTTTAGTTCTGCCTTTGAAATCTGCAGAACCCAGAGCCTTCTCCCTGTTCCTGTGTTCACCACCCTAGCCCAAGCCAACACCATCCCATGTGTTTCAGAGCTTCCCCACTCATCTAACTGCTCCCATCTTAACCCCCTAGACTATTTTCAACACATGCCTAAGGAAACTTAAAAACCAGATGTTAATCCTACTAAACGCCTGTGGTTCCCCATGTTGCTAGATAAAAGCCAGAGCCTTTGTGAAGGTGTAACAAGAATCTGTGCCATCCATGTTCCACTCCTCTACCTGCTGCTTCTCCATCTTCAGTCTTGTTGGCAATATTCTTTAGCTAACAGAACGAGTCTCCCACACTTTTCAGATGTTGCCATCTCAAGGCTTTTCCTATTTACAACCCTGTATTTTAGCATAGGGGCAGAGAGAGAGGGAGAGGCTCTTACGCAGGCTCCACAACCAGTGCAGAGCCTGACACAGGGCTTGATCTCATGGCCTGAGCCAAAATAGAGTTGGCCGCTAACTGACCAAGTCTGTTGGGCACCCCCACCCCCCAAAGCCTGTGCAACCGTATTTTAAATTGCAATGCTTCCTTTCTACTGGCCTTCCCGATCCTGGCAGGCGTAAGGTTTGCTGGCTTCAATTACAGGAGGAGAGGGATTTCCATGGTGTCTTCTGTACTTTAGAGGACACCTAGCACATGGTGGGCCTCCATGTACTGACACGAGGAAAACGTTTTCATGTCAAGAAAGCACCGTTTGAGATATACTTGCTATTGAAGAGAGAAAATACCTTGATAGACATTATTTCTTTGTTATCTCTGGGACCAGAAGTTTAGTATAAAATGCTTTTCACACTTTGAGTGAATGAAAACATTCTGACAATGCAAAACACCTAAACACGTAAAGTGTGGTGGTGTTATGGAAAATAACAATAAACTCAGATTCCAAAGAAATAATTTAACAGTCATAATAATCCTTTATTAGTACCAGCTTTTCAACTAAATTGGTTTTTGCCAGAGCTAAACAATATAAAAAAAATGCCTTTTTGTTCATACAGTATTTATAAAAAAGTACATAGTGGTTAGTTTTGCAACAATTTGTTTTTAGCCAGATGTCATATCATATAAACCTATGAACGTAACAAATGAGATAAGAACAGTATAAATAAAGTTTTTGTAGTATTTACACTTATACAGAAACTAGCCCAAATGGTGTTGTAAGAAATTAAGTTTGCAGTTAAAGTGAAACTACTGATTCAGCATACTGATGACTTACTTTAATGCTTTTTAAAGTTTATATTATTTTCTACACTAGTTTTGACTAATTTTGCATAGAATTACTTATAAAGTATATTTTTGCATTTCACATCACAGTAGGAGCTTTTAGTATAACAGTACAAAAAAAAAAAAAAAAACAACCCACTAGCTCGGAAAAAGTCACATCTTCTCAAATCTAGTTTTTCTTAATATCTGGCTTCTTACTTTTGGGCACAAGGAATACATTGCCATCTCTTGTTTGCTGCAGGGAGTATTCACTGGGAGAGTAAGGTTTTCCATCTTCATCACGGAGCATGCTGAAGACTTCAAGATACAAAGTGCTGAGTTGTTTTTTCAGTAGATGGAGGCTTTTGTCATTCTCGCCCTTTTCTTTGAGCAATTTTTCTTTTTCATCTTTTAAATGATCCAAATCTTGTTCCAGTTCCACTATATTTTCCAGTTTTCTTTTTCTGCAATTCTGAGCAGCCACTTTATTCTTACCCCTCCTGCGTATATCTCGAATTAACGCCAGCTGAGCCTCATTGAATTGCTCCTTTGACATCATCTCATTGAAGTCATCAACAGGGAGGTTAATGATTTTTTCAACAGGGAATGGGATATGGAGAGCTTTTGCCCTTAGCTCATCTCTTGTGAGATGAGCCTCCAAGCGGCTTGAATGTTTGTCTTTTGTGAATGGGGCTTTTCGATGACCAGGACTTACCGGCAATTCTTTTTTTGGTGTGTTTTCACACTGGGCGTCACGCACTGGAGCACTGGGCCCTGGAGATGGTGACGGGGGCTGGGCTGGATCTCCGGCAGACTGTCCCGGCTGTGTTTTAGGACCGGTCTGTTTGACACTTCCAGGAGCACTATCTGTCTCTTCCATTTCAGAATCACTGAAGCCAAGTGGTGTGTCTCCATAGACAGAAGATTCCACTGAGTGTTCTGGTGATGCCATGCCAGGACTTGTGTTCAGTGAAATGCCAGAGTCAGAATCGTTGAATTCTGTGCTTTCAGGGTGGTTTTGGTTAAACGCTTTACAAAGTGATAAATCAGAAACATCAATGGGCCCATTAAGAAGTTCAGAGAGTGACTGGCTGAAAGAAGCAGAGGAAGGCATGCTGTTGCTACTACTGGGTTCTGCTATGAAAGCAGAATAAAATTCATCACCAAAATCTGTGTTTATTGTGGCATCTGAATTTAATGAGTTCACTGTCAGCTGGCTGGAATCTTCTGTGGAGAGGATGCTGCTAAAAGAATCCTCGAAAGCACTGAGAAAAGGTGGACTGCAGTTACCTACTTCTTTTTCCAGTGAGGGCATTGAGGGGTAGAAATGATAATTGTTGTCGATTTCTGTCATTTTGGTTTCTGGACTTGGCACCATGCTAGTCTCGACCAACTTGTCATTCTGAATATTAAGACACTGTGGAAAAGAAATGTTTACTAAATGTAAATCAAGGTGAAATATTTTTGATAGCAGATAGTCTATATTTCATGGCAAATATTTATTTTTTAAAGATTTTATAAGTAATCTCTATACCCAATATGGGGCTTGAACTCACAACCCCGAGATCAAGATTTCCATGTTCCACCAACTGAACCGACCAAGTGCCCCTGATGGCAAATAGTTTTAAAAGCTGAAAATCTATATCTGATTCTGATTCCCCACCCCCATTCTTTCCAAGCTCTTCTGTAATTCAGATAATTCCCATCCATTTCTAACAGATATTTATGTCTAAGTATGTACATTATTTTCACAGTTCCTAGGTCAGACTTCTGGTCTACAAAGACCAGATCCTTCCTCAAGACAATCAGGTGGCCCAGCAGCTTGGCGCCACCTTTGGCCCGGGGTGTGATCCTGGAGGCCCGGGATCAGGTCCCGTGTTCGGCTCCCTGCATGGAGCCTGCTTCTTTCCCTCTCCTTCTGCCTGTGTCTCTGCCTCTCTCTCGGTCTGTCACGAATAAATAAATGAAAGCTTAAAAAAAAAAAAAACTGCACATAAGTGATCATGGGCAACTCTTGTGACTCAAGTTTATTTAAGTTATCTTTACACCCAAGGTGGGGCTCAAACTCACAACTTTGAAAGAGTCGCATGCTCCTGTGACTGAGCCAGCCAGGTGCCCCTCTCAGGACTAATTTAAAAGCACCCTCTGGGACGCCTGGGTGGCTCAGTGGTTAAGCTTCTGCCTTCAGTCCAGGGTGTGATCCCAGGGTCCCAGGATCGAGTCCCGCATCGGGCTCTCTGCATGGAGCCTGCTTCTCCCTCTACCTATGTCTCTGCCTCTGTCTCTCATGAATAAATAAAATCTTTAAAAAAATAAAAATAAAAGCACCCTCCTGGGCATTTGGGTGACTCAATTAAGCAGCTTCCATTGGCTCAAGACATGATCCCAGGGTCCTGGGATGGAGCCCCACATCAGGTTCCCTGCTTCCCCTTCTCCAACGCTTATGCTCTCCTGCTCTCTCCCTCTCTCTCAAATAAATAAATAAAATATTTTTTAAAAAAAGCACCTTCCAATCCTTCCATTAAGTAGGTGGCATGTAAATAGTAACTGGATAATTGATTTAAAGGCACTGAATATAAAAGTGTCTTTGGTATTTATTGATACTAGATCTTAGTTACCTGCAGTTCTGGAATGGATAGTAGCTCCTCCCAAACTTGCTCAATGTCCTGCTGCATATTGTCTAAATCAGCAATGACTGACTGAACGGCAAGAGTCTGAGGTGACTGAGCCTGATTAGGAGCAATGAAGACTGGGTTTTCGATTTGGCTGGGAATATCAGGAACAAGGGACTGAAATGCAGCTGAAGAAACCTACAATTGACAGAGCATTTATCTTCATGAGTCTGCCAGCAACAGTGGAGAAGTACTCCCCAAGGCACCCCCACAACACCTTCAACTGGACTTGGCTAACGGTTCTCTATTTCTTTAGTTATAACCACTTATGAAACCACTTATTAATGAAACAAATCTCTTTTTCCCCTGCCCGACTCTAAACTTAATCATTTACTAGCTTAGCTGTTTTATCCTATACATTCAAAGGTAAATTTCAAAATAAGTATCAATCTTTAGGATTTTTAATTTGTATGTCTCGGTAAAAATATGTAGTATAGTGCTTCAAACATAATAAATTTACTAAAAGTGTTAACTGAGCAAGTCTTGGTTTATTACCCAGCTTGCTTTTTACACACCAAAATTTATTTCTAAGTACCTATAACCAATGAGTCATTTGTTTCCATGGTTATGCAGATGCATGCTTCTGGCTATGCAGCAGTGAGTGGTTTTCGTTTTGTATTTTGTAGAGATTTTTTTTTTTATTGTAAAGTTATCTACAGGCTAAGGATTCTTTGACAAAATTTCCTCTTAAAATATTTTTTTTTTTACCGGAGACACACTTAGAGGATATATTAGATACAGTGATTAGATATAGTGGAGGAGTTTCACTGTTAACCAAATGTACCTCATTGTCATCTACGAACGGGAATGTCTCTGCCAAAAGCTGCATGCAGTCATCAAAGTACAAAGCATCTGGCTTGGGAATGTGGGGAACCTAGATAAAAGAGAGACATAAAAGAAGAAAAAGATTGTTCAGTGTCATACGGTGTTTATAATTTAGTTAGACATTTATCTTCTTTCCGAAATCAGTTTAGTGTAGTACAGAGCACAGAATCAAATCAACCAGACTATCTGGGTTTGAATCTTGGCTTCCCCAGCTTTGAGCGCTCCGGGCAAGCAAGTTACTGAATCTCTGAGCTGCAACTGCTCATCTGCAGACAAGACGCGAGTACTCTGTACTACTTTTACCGCTGCCACCACCGCTGCTGCTTGACGCTTACGTATGTTTCCACAGCTTAGAAGGCACCTTCCCATAACTTATGTCCTCCCAATCCTACAGCTCTGTGAGGAACTCATCAGGAAGCTGAGGTTGGGAAGGTAACTTGATATGGTCATGAAGACATAGTAAAAGGCATAAAAAAAAAGGCGAAGTAAAACTCAAATCCAGAGGTTTTAACTCTTGGGTTGGTATTAGTTCCATAAACCCTGCCACACACCTTCCCAAGAACAGAGTTTTCTGTACCTGGGAGTAGTTGGCAGATGCACTGGTTTCCGATGGGATGTGTGGGGCTGGCTGAACTGGGAGGAATTCACCTGTCTCTTCGTCTAGTTGTAACTGAGCAAAGAAAGCTTTCTCTTGCTCCTTTTGGAGTTGTTCTTGTCTTTCCTTTTCAAGTTTTTTCTGTTTTTCCAGCTCATGCTCCTTCCGTCGTTGACTGAAGTCAAATACTTCTCGACTGACCCCAAGATCTATATCTTGCCTCCAAAGTATGTCAATCAAATCCATGTCCTATGTTTAAAAAAAAGGAGAGAGACCATGGCTAAGATGGTTTTTAAAATGGCAGATACCATGTAGTTTACATTATGCCACTGTTGATGGCCGGCGGTAGGGAGATGACGATCTGAATGGGAACACAGATCCCATGTTCTGGAAGGACACGATTAATTCCAGTCAATGAATCAAGAAACAAGAACGTACAAACAGCCATCCATTCTAATACTTATAACTTGGATTATTAATGACTGGGTGGTAGTAGAGGTCACTACGGAGCAAAGGAACACGCAGCACGCACATTAAAGCTCTTGCATTAAGGGAAGCCCCACACGTGTTTAATGGAATACAGAAATGAGAGTAACTCCAAGCCACTGGTTTACTATGAGAAATGGGAGTTTGGGAAACATGATCAAATATGTGGAATTTCTTCTAAACTCAGCAAATATCCAGTTTACAGAGTGGGGGAAAACCCCTGCTAAATGTCAATCTAGCAGCTGTGAAACAGCACCTTCTTTTGGTGTTTCCTACACCGATTACTTTCCCCCATCATCTCTTGCTCCTCTTGTCCCTGTGGTTCATTTATGGAAACAATCTCCTCCGGACTTGGGTGTTCGCTCCGGAGGCGTGCACAGATTAGTACGGGGAAGTCCTGGCTAATGGTCATCTCGTGACCCGCAGGTGAAGCAGGGGGCTGCAAGGGGCTGCCCTGGGAAAGGGTTTCACTTCTGAGAAATCACAAATAACCCTCTTAAAAACAAACACAAAATAAATTAAAAACAAACAAACATGGCTCCAGGGAAGGATGGAAGGTACTAAAAGTTTTAAGATACAGGGAGAATCTTGCCACGAGAGTAATGGTTATTTTGATTTCTGTGACAAAGCTAAGTCGACGTACCACATCCAGATTTTTCTAATCACAAATGTGTCAGAAAGCAATTTTTCTGACTTAGAACTTTAGTTTTTGGAAAAGTCTACACAGGTAGGAAATACATTTGTATTTTTTAAAAGATTTTATGTCTCCCCATACCTGTGTCTTTGCCTCTCTCTCTCTGAATAAATAAATAAATAATATTTAAAAAAGATTTTATGTATACATGAGTCACAGAGGCAGAGACCCAGGCCGAGGGAGAAGCAGGCTCCCTATGGGGAGCCCGACACGGGACTCGATCCCGGATCCCCGGGGGGGTCACGGCCTGGCCAGAAGGCGGGCGACTGACCGCTGAGCCCCCAGGCGTCCCCCCATAGGACATTCAGATCACTTCCCAGCTAAGAAGTCATCTGTACTGAAAATATATAATGAGACTAACAGTAGAGAAATCCAGGCGCGGGGAGGGGAGCGGGGCTGACAGCGGGCTCGGCAGGGGACACCGGCTGCCCCGGGGACACCGGCTCGGACACCAGCACCGGGTCTAGACCTGCCGACTGGCTCCTCCCGGGACCAAGGGGCGCGATGCCTCCTGAGCAGCTATTTCCAGCCAACAGCGGGGAGCCCAGGCCACCCTCGGCCCCGGGCCCTGGCCCACCGCACTGAGCAGCCCACGGCTCCCCTCGGGCCTCTGGGACCACAAGTCACACCAAAAATATGACCGACGCGGCTTCCTGAACTGCGGCGACAGAAGATCGCGGTGCTGTCCGCGCCCTAACATCCCGGGGCGAAGGGCAATGCGGGGCGGGCTGAGCCTCCTGGACCTCGGCTCCCACAGGGCGCAACCGGGGCGCTCTTCAGCCCCGCCTCTCCTAGGGGCCCCCGCCCCCCCGCCCCTGGAAGGAGCTCCATTTCAAAGACGAGGTGTGGGGGTCCCCGGGGGCTCAGCGGTTTAGCGCCGCCTGCGGCCCAGATGTGACCCCAGGGGCCCAGATCGAGGCCCGCGTCAGGCTCCCTGCAGGGAGCCTGCTTCTCCCTCGGCCTGGGTCTCTGCCTCTCTCTCTCTCTCTCTCTCTCATGAATAAATATAATCTTAAAAAAATAAAAAAATAAAGATGATGTGTTTCCATTTTAATGGGCAGGTTTATCCAAAGGTCACATGAAACACAACGGTTCAAGGTACAGCAAATTCTACCTTAAAATCCTGAGTAGTTCAGCTCCGACCCTGGTGAACTGGGGATCCCTCCAGGCTGTTCTCCCACTGGAGCCAGGGGGCCAGGGCCAGGGAGGTCGTCCTCAGGGTCCCACACCCACTAAGCGCCAGCACTAAAGACAAGCACGATCACAGACAGCCCCAACCGAACTCCAGTCCTTCTCGAACACTGACAGGCCAGCGCGCCGAGCTCTCCAGAGCAGTAAAAGAAACGCAGGGGCGCCCGGCTGGCTCTCGGGTACGCGTCCAGGCCATGATGTTGGGGTCCTGGGCTCCCTGCTCAGCAGTCTGCGTCTCCCTCCCCGTGCTCCCCTCCCCACACTCGTGCGCTCTCTCCAAGGCCAAGGCAGAAGCTTTTCCTTGTTGAGAGATCCCAGATAAAAACCAAAATCCAAAAAAAAAAAAAAAAAAAAAAAAAACCCACACAAAAAAAACCATGATCCACTTTTGATTTTTTCATAAAAGCCAAATGAACACTGAAGCAGTTTCTATTGCAAATCCCTGCTCACAGGTCAGACTATTCCAGGGTATCCCCAGAACCCAGCCCCATGGGCCGAAGGAAAATTCCTACTGTAGTTTACTCTAGAATTCTCAGGAGGCAGTCACACCAGGAGTTGATACATCTCTGTTCTTTCCTTTCTCCTTCTTTCCTCTGCACCAGAGATGTCTCAAGTGGGTTCAGATGGTTTAGCTCTAAATTTAGTACATGCTTGTTTTGGCCTACCCCTATCATACAGATGTTGGTGGATCAACTGAGACATGAAAGAAATCTCTCTATAAATGTAAAGCATATGCTATTGTTGCTATGCATGCTGACAGTGATGGTTTTGTTTTTTTTTAGATTTTATTTATTCATGAGAGAGAGAGGGGCAGAGACACAGGCAGAGACAGAAGCAGGCTCCGTGGGAGAAGCCCGATGTGGGACTCGATCCCAGGACCCGGGATCACAACCCGAGCCAAAGGCAGATGCTCAGCCACTGAGGCACCCTAGTGCCCAGTGATGGTTCTAACACCTGCCGGAACAGAAGATCAAACTCCAGCCAACGGATGATGATGAAGCTGTGGACCTGACTGTACTGGGCGCCTGAAGTAACACTCAGCAATGAAGCTCCTTGGTTCCTCCTCAGGGAGGGTGTGAAACAGATTACCCGGTTTGTGCAACATGTGTTGAAGACAAAACACACAACCTCTACTTTCATGTTTACTTCTGTGTACACACACACACTTGCTCAACTGCCGTTCAGTCCCTGCTGGGCCCCCCCTTCGATGCACGGCCAAACGAATTCAATTTTAAAGAATTTCCCATTACCCACCAGGTGAACAGATGTTGATCTGGGAAATGATTACTTGGAAGGCCACTGTACTTTGTCTCTGCTATGGTATGTTTGTACTTTAGCAAGATAAAAAGTTCAACTTAAATGTACATGTTTATGCTAGAACCACCTATATAAAGTGTCAAGGAACAGAATGAAGATATATGTGCTAACATTAAAAGCAAAATTTCCCAGAATATGCTCCCAAACACCTGGATGGATCCTTATCAACAAACAGGAAAAATACATCATGAAGCAGCATCTGGATCAGCCCTTGAGCATCCTGTTCTCCTCTGACCTGAAACAACGCTGGGCCCCGGGAGGCCAAGCAGCTTACTGTCTCCACCCGGAATGTCTCCAAAAGAGGTTTCCAGTGACATCTAACTGTCCTAAATGTGGCTGGGCAGCCTTCAGGGGGCACAGTGGTCCCCAAACAGGTTTCAAAGTGTTCTCAGAGCTCTTCCTCCGTATATTAATTTATTTTTATGTGATATTTATTGTTGCTGTGATAAGTCTCTAAAAGGAAACTTCTGCTTCGAAATAAAAGCGAGGGTTGTTCTTACTACCTTGGGTTCCTTAAAACCGATGTTCTGATGAAATTCAGAATGAAGCAACAACAGGTTTCTTGTCACGGCCTTAATATGTCATCCTCTGTGTTACTCAAATTTTTACATCATGTTCCGAAGCAAAAACCTTCAGGGATTTGATATTCTATGAAATATTCAAAGCTTGAGGATCCCTGGGTGGCTCAGTGGTTGAGCGCCTGCCTTCAGCCCAGGGCGTGATCCTGGAGACCCGGGATCGAGTCCCACGTCGGGCTCCCTGCATGGAGCCCGCTTCTCCCTCTGCCTGTGTCTCTGCCTCTCTCTCGCTCTCTTTGTGTTTATCACGAATAAATAAATAAATATTATTTAAAAAAAAAGAAATATTCTAAGCCCTATGTTGAAAATGAGAAAGGCGTCCAGCCAAGACCGGCCGGTGGGAGCCCAGGGCCGGGTGCTGGGTGCTGCCCTCGGGGCCGAGCACTTCCTGCCCGAGCCCTGTGACCGGCCGTGACTTCCGCCACAAGTGACCCGCCTCCGCGGAGCCGGCGCCCCAGAGGAAGCGGTCGGGTGGAGCCCGCAGCAACAGGACACGGGACGGCGGAAGGGAAATGCCCGGGGCGAGCCACGCGGCCGCCGCACGCAAACCCAGGCCGAGAAGGGAGAGCTCCCGGAGCAAGGGCCGTCCAGAGAGGTTAGGGCAGGAGAGGGGAGCAGGGGGTGGCTTCGAGGGCATTCCGCAGGTCCTTTCCCGAGACCAGGGCAAAGGCTCCGAGGGCCAGGGCGCCGCTGCGGGCCTTCCCGTGCCATATGGAGCCACTTAGTATCTGAATTTTTTGTTGTCCTTTAGTGATTCCTGAGTGTGTTGCAAATTATGCTGCTAGCGTGGCTTACACAAAAGATGACGATTTAATAAGAAACATAAATGTTTGACAATTCGCATTAAATCACCATCTGGTCCAAATGAAAGATTCCTATTTAAAATGTATATATCCTCATTTGCCGTCTATGTCATCTATTACATGTTTCACAGGGACTCTGAAGTTGGATTATTAACTCAGACCACTTTGAAACAAACATCT